GGGAGCAGCAGGTCTAGCCACAGGCCTGCAGCTGCAGCTCTTAATCCTCTGGAGGATGCCCTCCCAGCTCTGTCCGGTCAGGGACTGTCCACCCAGAGCTAGCTCTGAGTGCTCCCATTGGGCTCAGGAGTGATGCCAAAGCCTGTCTGGCACCTTGGAGAAAGAGCCCTGTCCTGGCACAAACTGCTGACTACCCCAGCACTTCCTCCCAAATGCCACCATGGGGCATCCAATCTAAGAAGAACCCCATTCCTTCCCACACTCGTCCTCAGTACCAGACTGGGGTCAGAGCGGCCTCCTTGACATGTGGATAGCATGGAAATAAAGAACCCAAAGCAAAAGCAGCCCTCTGAGTGTGACAGAGCAGTGCATGGGGAGTGGGTGCTCATTCACTGCCTCAGGAAGTCGCCTTGTTCCAGTGGGGAGCAGCAACTTACCCAAAATCTCTGCCTTGTGGTCAGGCTGGCATGCTTCCAGTCTGGAACTTGGTACCCTGCCTGCCTCTAACGGTGGTGATCCAACACACGCTGACTTTGTTTAGCTCAGAGAGGTTGAGCAACTTGCCCAGTCATTTAGCGAGTGTGTAATAGACAGGGTCACACTGGAGAGACCTTCCCCAAGGTAAGGGTCCTCATCTTGAGGAGCTAGTCTTAAGGAACTGGTCCTGTCCCTCCAGCCCCCAAAATGGCCACCTACAGGGAACCTGAAACAGATGCCTGTGACCCAGGGCCTCTCAAACACTAACAGATGTGCTTCTACCTGTCAAACCAGTTTCAAGAACTAAAGTGCAGTGCAGCGCCAGGGAGAACACATAGTACAGCTGAGTTCAGGCCTCAGCACAGCCACTGTCCCCAGAGCTAGCTTGGGTGGCCAGGACGGTCACATGTAGGGCCTTCACTGCCACTCTCCACAGGAGTCTCCTGGTGGGCAACCCTATCCTGTGTTCCAAGACTGTAGGTGGGAACAGGCCCTGGCTCACTGGTAGGCTGTAGGGAGGGGGTCAGGGCTGTGTTGACATCATGTGCTCTGATCACAAGTCCTCTCACACGCCTGTCTATAGTTTGGCAGTCCTGCAGAGGCCAACTGAACCTCCATGCTTCCTGTGGTTTGGTCTGGAAAGGCTCCTGGGTCCTGGGAAGCGCTAAGGCTCAAAGGCTGCCTCACTTGGGGAGGGCTGGCCAGCTCCTTTGCCTGGCATCCACGTGCCCAGTGTGCCTCTTCCAATCACAACTTCCACTGCCTCCTCATCCAACCTCACTTCCCGCCTGTACACCTGGCTCCAGCTCCCCAAGCCATGGCCATCCCATCCTCCCAGGCATCCTGAGCAGACTGCACAGCCCACTGGGCCTGCTTCAGAGGTCACAGAGCAGGCCCTGAAGCCTTCCTCCCAGGCTGGTCACACTGCTACAGGACTCCAGTGGTGATAGAAAAAAGTGGAACAGGACAGGCTGGGGTCAGTTTGCCCATTCCTATTGGAGGGCACCAAAGAGAAAAACAGGTAACAGAATCAGATGGCCCTGGTTTGACAAGGAAAACAGATGGGTCACTTACCCCAAGGGATCCCCAACCCCAGGCCCCTGTGTGAGACCCAAGGGGGCTCAGCTCTGAGCATTCCACCACCCCAGTTAGGGGCTCTGCTCCTAGGGTAAGCTCTGAGTGGGAACCAATGCTAGCCAATTTCTTCAGAGCTGTTCCTCTACCCCAGGCTTTCCTGCACCTCCTGATACCCCCCAGGCCCAGGAAGCCCCTCCATCCCTGTCTCTGTGAGAAGGCAGCTTTGAGACAACCAAGTCCCTCAGTTCAGAGCCTCCAATGACTCCATCACTCTGGGCATTGTATGGGGTCACCACTCAGGTCCACGCCTCAAATGACACCCTATGCCACACAGGGCTCACAGGCCAACTGTAACACACTGTTCACCCCTGCCTCAGGCTGAACCATTCTTTCAGAGACCCCTGCCTCTCAACTGGGCCCTACACCAACCTTCTCTGCACCCAGCAGTCTTTCTAACCTCCCACAGCTCCAAACCTGCTGTCCTCCTGGGCATCTGTTCCTAGATGCTAATGAGCACCCCCCACCAAACCAGAAGTCCAAGCTGGCCACCTTCACACTCCCTCCCCTGCGCAGGCCAAGTCCTCAAAGTTCTCTCAGAGGTGGCCACCTCTCTACCTCCCACCCACCCTCTCCTCCCAAATGTGAGCCTTAGGTAGCCCACCTTGTTGCTCTCCTAAGCTTTGGGCTGGACAGTCTCCCAGGCATCATCACCCACACCTGTCACCCTCGCCCACAGCAAGCCAATCAGCAGCCCTCCTCAGATCCTTTCCCAGACACAGACCTCTTCCTCCCCTCAGACTCTTCCCCTGCCCCAAAAGTAACATGCCTGAGCAACAGATGCTTCCAAGACAAGAGCTGTCTTGTTTAATCCTCACAACTAAGTGAGCACTTCCATTGGCAGACAGAAACAGGAGGCCACAGGGAAAACAGCTTCCTCAACACCAGGCTTTGCAGCGTGGTGGTTCACACCTGTCCTTCTGGCACTTGAGGGTGGGGGCTGAGGCAGGTGGATTGCCATGAGTTTGAAGCCAGCCTGGGCTACATAGTGAGTTCCAGGATAGCCTGAGCTACAGTAATCAAGCCTGTATCAAAACAAAACAAAAAACTCCACCTATTTTATAAGAGTGGGTTACACAAGAGTGGTCTTGTAAATTATTAATAATTATAATTTGTAAAACAAAAAAGTGGAGCTCTGTTTATAGAGCACCTGCCTAGTATGCAGGAAACCCCATGCTCCACCCCCAGAACTGCACAAACCAAGTGTTAGCACATGCCTCTAATCCCATCATTCAGGAGACAGGCAGGAAGAACAGAAGTTGAAAACTATCCTCCCCTACAGACAGCCTGGGCTACATGAGACCCTGTCTCAAAAAAATAAAAATAGGCAGGGTGTGGTGGTACACACCTTTAATCCCAGCACTTGGGAGGCAGAGACAGGTGGATCTCTGTGAGTTCAAGGCCATCCTGGTCTACATAGTGAGTTCCAGGCCAGCTGGGGCTACAGGGAGACCCTGTCTCAAAAAGACCAAAAACAAACAAACAAAAACAAATAAAAAACAAACAAACAAAAAAACAACCCAAAACAAAAAAAATAAAAAATAAAAATAAAAAAATAAAAAGCTAAGCCATTTCTAGAAAACTTTGGGCCAGAAGTCCCCCCTGCCCCCAACTCTCCAAGTGCCCTAACCTCCAAAGTCTACCATCTGAATCCTCATCCTGGAAGGTCTGACACTGGCCAACACAGCCCCATCCCAAGAGCAACCTCTCTTGGCCCCAACGTTGCCTTAATAATCACAGATTTAGGAGGGCTCAGCCTCGATGGCCACTTGTCACATGTGATCTCATTTAAGTCTTTTACAAACCCTGAGCCACGGCTACTGTCACCCACATTCCAGAGGGGAAAATAAGGCTCAGGCCAGTTACACAGCCTCTCTGAAGTTGCAAAGCAAGTAAATGGAAGGGTCAGAGTTTGATCCACAGCTAGCCAGTCTTCTTTCCTTTCCCCTTTCTTTCTTTGTAATGCAACAGTGTTTCACTAGGTAGCCCAGGCCAGGAACTCTCTAGCCTCTGGCCTCAACCTCCCAAGTGCTAAATTAAATTGACAGCTGTGCACCAACCACACCAGGCTTCCTAACAACTTCTGAATGGCTACAGTGCTCTGTCTTCCCCTTCCCAGTCTGATCTCCCCCATAAGATCCAACTGACTCTTCCTGTCCACAGCCGCAAGCCCAAGATAGACCACCCAACCCTGGCTGGTGCCTCAAACAAGTCTAAATTAAAATTAGCCTTGGTCTCTTTGATAATTACTAGCCAAACTGGCATTTATGGTAGGCTCCCTGAATATCGTTTCTTGCAACCAAGTGTTCCCCCTCACATCAAAACCACCAGCTGCCCATTCAGCTGCCCACAGCCTCGCAGTGGTGCCTGTCTGTTCCAGGACCAGCAGGCTAGCTTCTATAGATCCACTGCCAACGGGAGCCCTCTCTTCACAGGTTCCATCCTAGCAAAACAGACATATTTCTCCAGCTCAGAAGTGGGCTCCACCTATGTTCATGTCATCACGATCTTTCACCTTCCCTGGCCTGTGACTCCAATGCACTCCTCCAAATGCCCTTTCAGTTCCACCACCACAGCAGCCTTCTCCAGGCGCTCAGAATCTACGGACTTCACCCATCTGCCAACCCACAAGCCACCTGCTCTTACTTACTGACCAGAAACTCCACCACCTGACTTGGTAGCGGCCACAACTCCCTCCCCAGGAAGAAAGGAAAGAAGATCCTGGCAAAAGCCCAGTCCAGTTCCTGTGCACCTGCTGAAGACGGACAATTGCCGCTTCCCTTTTCCCCGGAGGAGGAGACCCACCATGCCTTTTCTTCTGAATTCTAAAACTTAGCACTGCCTGGGACTACCTCACTCACTGAGCAAAACGATCACCTTTTTTGCTGCTTTCTGAAAGTTGATTCTGATCCTCCTTTTTCCAGTTCTAGGCTTTACCAACTCCTCTACGCCACAGTCCGAGTTTATTCTTCCTCCTTCCAGCCAGAACAAACGGCATGGCCACCGCTTGCCTCCAGGCGTGCAGACCAGAGACCTCACCTCTCGCCACCCCCATGGACCTATCCACTTACCTTTAACCCAGCCATGGGAACCGACTCCATCTATCCCGGGGTCGGGGAGGGGGGCACTATGAACTCAAATGCCAGCCTCCCAAATTCCCAACTATATCCATTACACATCGTTTTCGATCCTAACACACTCGCCCTTAACGTCTCAGGCAGTGAGGGTTCGAGACCCCACTGCTTTCTTCCCAAGCCTCTCGGCCAAGCCCTCTCTGTAAAGTCACTGAGAGGTGTCATTTACTGAGCGCCACCCCCGCACTCGGCCTGTCGGCATCCCACCCGCGTCCCCGTCTCCGGGAACCTGGACGCGCCCCTCGCGGTGGCTACCATGTCTCCAGGGGTCTTTGGGCTCCACCGCTCCGGACACGATGTCCTCGTCCGACGGGAACGTGACGCGCTTGGCTGCAGCCTTGAGGCGGCCGTCGGCTGGCGGCGAGGCGGGGTTGGGGGACCCGGCTTCGGCCGGGGCCTCCTCGGCGTCGGCGTCCGCGTCGGCATCCGCGCCCGGCCCGGGCGGCGCCTCCTGCGGCGGGATCTCCATCGCCGCCGCCGCCTCCTGCTCACGGGGGCCCCGGGGACATGCCCCGGGCCCCGGACCCGTCTCTCCCGGCCCGCCCGCCGTCCCGGGGCATGGGCTCCGCCGGTGCCTCAGGCGCCGCCTCCGTCCGCTCCGATCGTCGTCGTAGTCTTCGCCGCCGGGAACCCCAACGCGCCTCCGCCAAGATCCGCGCGCACCTGCTCGTCCGCAGTCACACTTTCGCTAAAGGCCGAAGAGCCGGGTGCGTAGCCGAGAAAAGCCACGACACCGACTTAACCTGTCATTCAGAAAGAATCGCCTCGAGAGTGACACGAAGAAAGGAACAAAGAGCAGAACGCTGCATGGGAAAAAGAAACGTGAGCAGCGAATCTGCAGAGCCGGAACTGCAGACTATGAGGGGCGGGGCAAGGTGGACGCCGTCTCCCGGAGCAGCGCGCACGCGCGAACCTCTACCGCCCCGTGCCTCGCCCTCCGCCTAGCTAAATGCGCCCAGGCTTCGTCACTTTCGTCACGAGTTCAGGTTATGGAGGCGTGAAGTTGATAGAAATCAAAACACCTAGGCCCGGGAGATGGTTCAGCCGGTACATGCGGCCTGAGTTCCACAGCCCGAACCCACCTGAAGGTGGAAAGAAAGAACCGACTCCACAGTTGTCCTCTGACGTCCACATGCACGTGTACCTCTCCCATAGTAATAAATAAAAACTTGAAAATTTAAGAAAATCAATTAAGGATCGGAGACATTAATTTAAAAACAATAACATCTGCCGGGGGTGTAGCGGCATACTTGTAATCCTAGCCCTGGAGAGGCTGAGGCAGGACAATTGCTGCGAGTTCGAGGTCAGCCTGGACTACGTAGCGAGCAGCCAGGGATACAGAGACCCTGTCTCAAAATAAACAACTAAGTAAAACCACATGTTTGGCGGGGCTAAGACAACTGATGGGACCAGGGAAAAGGGATGGAGGCGTTGAAAGGCCGTGTAAGCTGAGCTGAGTATATGATGAGTACATTACATACAAGTGACAGATGCTGACAGATGAGACTCCAGCCATTTAGACTTGTTTCAGCAATGTCTTGTCAGCCGTGCATTAAATGGAAATTGCAATACTAAAACAATGAGTCGGTAAAGACTATTCATAGGCCTGATTTTTTTAAACTGGGAGAAATTTCAAAGGCCAGAGATTAATCAGCAGATCCAAACCTGTACGAGCCCCAGCCACGCCTCCAAGAGCTCGATTACATCGCTCAGGATTCATCTCCGCACTTTCGTCTATCCGTTCCAGTCCATCACTGACCTGGGGAGGCGGGACTGAAGCCATAAATGGGGACTCGTGGAGGGGCGAGCACCTCACACCTCGTTACCAAGACAACCAGAGAGTTAGGCAGGGGGACTGGCCAGCGGCGGCAGTGAGGACAGGTGGCCGCGGAGGCTATCTGCTAAAGTCCGCTTCATAGTTGTAACCACACTTTTGTGACAAAAACCCTCCATAATTAATGCAAGTCTTCACTAACATTCTGAACTTGGACCAAGGAGACAGAAACTTGTGTTTATTTGTAGATAGATACTCTTGTGGCCAGGGCTGCTCTCGAACTTGCTGTGTGGAAACGGATGACCTTAAACTCCTGATCTTCCCATTGCTAACCACCAGGTTCTGGGATTACACACCCGTGCCAGTATGCCTGGCTAAGAACTACTTTTGAATACCATCTGCTGAAGTTTCTAGTGACAAGGGACTAAGTGAAATACGTGAGATGGACCATCTCCCTACAACACTGGAGCAAACAGAGAAAGGGTGAAACAATGCCTAGTCCACAGTGTTTATTCAGTTGGTGTGGTCACTCAGGATGTGGGTGTTCACCCCATGTGGGAAACCAAGTTTGCTGCTTGTTCATCAGCAAAGGATGCACAATCAAGTAAGTTCCTTCCTGGTTAGCAGCAATCCTTACCCACCTTGAAATAAAATTGAGACAGAGACAGAGAGACAGATAGATGGCCAATCTGCCATCCAGGGAGTATACATCATTTCCCAGGACTAGTGAGAATGCAAGTCCCCACACCTTTATCTAGATTCCTCACATCATGGCTCAGCTCTAGTTTTTAGACTTCAGATAACTACACCCTATTACATTTTAAATACGACTTTAGGGCTGGAGCAGTGGCTCAGTGATTTGAGTGCTTCTGGCTCTCCCAGAGGCCCGAAGTTCATTTCCCAGCACCCATGTCCATGGCTCATAGCTATCTCTAACTCCAGCTTCAGGAGATCTGATGCCCTCTTCTGACCTCTGAGAGAGCACCCACACATGGCATTCTATCTGTCTCTCTGTCTCTGTCTCTGTCACACACACACCCCATTTCACATGGGGGTTCACTTAAAAAGATAGCAGAGACAGGCAGGTGGCCACACCTGTAATCCCAGCACCTATGATGCTGAGGCAGGAGGACCGTGAATCCTAAGCCAGTCTGGGTTACACAGCCAAACCCTATCTTTATTTATTTATTTTTTGTCTTTCTGAGATAGGGTCTCCCTGTAGCTCCAGTTGTCCTGGAACTCACTATGTAGACCAGGCTGGCCTCAAACTCACAAAGATCTGCCTGCCTCTGCCTCCCAAGTGCTGGGATTAAAGGCGTGTGTCACTATGCCCGGCCCCCAAACCCTGTCTTTAACAAAAAAAAGAAAGAAAGAAAGAGAACCACTTAGAGATGATTCATTAAGTGCACTGTGTCCTTGCAAAGGACACAGGTTCAATTTCCAGCACCCACATGGCAATGAACAACCATCAGTAACTCCAGTCCAGGGATCTATGCCCTCTTCTGACCTCCAGGGGCATTGCACAACATAGGTGCATTTACACATATGCAGGCAATACACTCATATACATAATTTTTTTAAAAAGCAAAAGGCAGAGTCCTGGAATCTCCATTTCTTTGGTAGAAGGGAAGAATGGGAAGCATCTACAGACAGGCTGGACTTTGCAGCTCCTCAGTACATATCCAGACACTTGGCAGTCTGCCTTGGAACGTCCACCCCATACCCCAGTCTTTAGGAACAGGCATTGGCCCTATTTCTGTAAAGTTGAGAGTTTGTGAGGTAGAACATTCCTTTCAAGGAGACCTAGAATTCCTGTGGTGGTAGTCTCTCGGCACAGTCCAAAATGGTCTCCAATTTATGAACCCCTACTTCAGCCTCCCCTGTGCTGGGATTACCAGCATGCAGCACCATATGGTGCCCAGTTTAGAGTTTTTCTGAGTAAGACTTAACGTTTCTTGGAGCTTGATTCAGATTCCAGAGGAACTGAGAGGTCTACAGGGCCAAGTTCCTGGCCCAGGAACATCTGGAGGGCTAAGCCCACAGCACAAGGGTGAAGGCCAGGATGTCTTCACAGCTTGAAGGTATAAGAAATGATGTCACTACACCGAAGCAGCGCCTCAGCCTGCACACCTATGGGAGTCTGCAGCTGGGATACGTAGAAGTTGGCCACATCCAGGTCGGTGGCCCCAAAGTGGGCAGTCACATGCACACCCTCATGCAGCGTGAAGCTCACAGGGTGCCCCACCATGGCCAGGAGGCTGCGGAGGTAGCGCTCCCGGAGGGCAGCTCGGGCCTGCTGTTCCTGGGACTCCAGAGAGTCTTGACCAGGCCCTTTTTGGGCTACAGGAGCTTCTGGCCTCAGGAGAGCCCTGCGTCCACCAGGGGCAAAGCCTCGGCTGAAGCCATCAGGGCCCCGGGGAAGGCGGAGCACTGGCACAGGGACAGGAATGGCCTGAGGAGTCTGCATGGTCCAAGCTGTGGGAAGAGCAGTGAAGAGATTAAAGGGAGGCCAGGGCTCCAGGAAGAGGAGGGGGCAGGTGCTGTGCCTTCAAAGCTGTCCCTCCACCTGTCCAAATGCTGACTCACTCATTACACCTGTGCCACTCCTCCCCAGAACCCTGGGTCCTAGAATTTGACACCACCATTCCCCACAGCAGTTTGGACCAGAATCAAACTGTCACCTGCACAAAAACATGACCCAGAAAGGTAAGGATTTATGTTGATGGATGGTTTTGGAGACATGGCCTTGCTATGTACCCCAGGCTGGCCTGGAACTTATCCTCCTGCTGCCACTTTCCAACTGCAGTGATATTGGGCACCTTCCACTGGGCCTGTTTTATACAGTGCTGGGGATCAAGTCCAAGACTCCATGCATACTAGGCATGTACTCTACCAACTGACATGCCAGACCCCAAAGACTACCTTTCCTAGAACTGGAGTTACAGATGGTTGTTAGCTGCAATGTGGGAGCTGGGAATCGAACCTGGGTCCTCTTCAAGAGCAGCAAGGGCTCTTAACCACAGAGCCATCTCTCCAGCCCCATGACTACCTTTTAAAATGGGGGAGGGAGGGGCAGGCTAGGCATGGTGGTCACACCTTTAATCCCAGCACTTGGGAGAAAGAGACAGGTGGATCAGGAGTTCATGGCCAGCTGGGACTATTGGGATCATATTTCAACCCCCCAAATAATAATATTAATTAATAAAATAAAATGGGGAGAGGGGCTGGAGAGATGGCTCAGTGGTTAAGAGCACTGGCTGCTCTTGCAGAGGAACCAGGTTCAGTTCCTAGCAACTATATTGCCACTAAATCTGTAACTCCAGTTCCAGGGACTCGATGCCCTCTTCTGGCCTCCATGGGCATTGCACAAGCGGTACACTTAACATACATGCAAGCAAAACATAAAACACCGAAACTATTTTTTTTTTGGTCTTTTTGAGACAGAGTCTTCCTGTAGCCCCAGGTGGCCTGGAACTCTCTATGTAGACAAGGCTGGCCTCAAACTCAAAGATCCACCTGCCTCTGCCTCCCAAGTGCTGGGATTAAAGGTGTGCACCACTATGCCTGGCATAAGATTTTTAAATTAAAATGGGGAGGAAAAATAGTAGCTCTTCAGGCTGGAGAGATGGCTCAGCGGTTAAGAACACTGACTGTTCTTGCAGAAGACCTGGATTCGAATCCCAGCACCCACCCACATGGCAATTAACAACTATAACTCCAGTTCCAGGGGATCCGACAGCCTCTTTTGTCCTCTGTGGGTATTGCACGACACAGGTGCACGTACCTATATGCAGGTAATACACACATACACATAAAATAAAAATAAATAAAATATTAAAAAAAATAGTTGGGCGTGGTGGTGCACGCCTTTAATCCCAGCACTCAGGAGGCAGAGGCAGGCAGATCTCTCTGAGTTCAAGGCCAGCCTGGTCTACATAGTGAGTTCCAAGCCAGCTGGGACTACAGGGAGACCCTGTCTCAAAAAGACCCAAAAAAAAAAAAAAAAAAAAGTAGCTCTTCACTCTAAATTGTTAAATTATCTTTGTTTTCATTTTCTGAGACAAGCTCTATTATGGTGCCCAGGCTGGTCTTTAACTGCTGGGCTCAAGAATCTGGCAAGGACTCAGGGCTACAGTCCTGTGCCAGCCAGCACCTTGCCTCACCTGTCCTTTGAGGCACTGCTCCCTCTTGACAAGATGCATATCCAGTCACTGTCCCAGGGCACCCTCTGAGAAATGAGGGATTCATCACTGTGAGGAAATCATGTCCACACAAACCTAGATGGGGTCGGTCACCACTCCCTGTGGCCTTGCTAGACAAACCAGGCTGGCCTGGACTTGTGATCCTCCTGCCTTAGGCTTAGAGCTGGGATTACAGGTGTGAACCACCACATAGCCTTTTGGTGAAATCAAAAGACCCCAGGTTCAGTCCCCAGCACTACATAAAACTGGGTGTGGTATCAAAGACCTGCAATCCCAGGAAGAGATAGAGACAGCAGGACCAGAAGTTCATGGTCATCTTTGGCTACATGAGACTATATCAAAAAAGAGTAGAAGGGGGCTGGAGAGAGAGCTCAGTGTTAAGAGCACTGGCTGCTCTTGCAGAGGACCTGGGTTTAGTTCCCAGCACCCACATGGTAGCTAACAACCACCTGTAACTCCAGTTTCAGGTGAATCCAACACCCTCTTCTAGACTCTGTGGATGCTGCAACACACTTGCATGTTCACCACTAAGTGAGTGCTGGGAACTAAACCCAGGTCCTCTGTAAGAGCAGCCAGTGCTCCTAACCACGGAGCCATCTCACCAGTCCCAATATTTTATTTATGTGTACAAGTGTTTTCCCTGCATGTATGTTGTACCATGTATGTTCCATGCCCACAGGGGCCAGAAGAGGGTGTCAGATCCCCTGGAACCAGAGTTATAGACAGTTGTTGCCACCATGTGGGTTTGGTCCTCCATAAGAGCAGCCAGTGCTCTTAATCACTGAGCCCACTCTCCAGCCCCAATAAAATATGTGTTTTTAAAAAGGGCAGCTGGAGAGACAGCACAGTGGTTAAGAACACATCCTGCTCTTCCCAAGGACCTGAGACCAATTCCCAGCACCCACAATGGGCAGATCACAGCAGCCTCTAACTCCAACACTGCACTCATATGAACAAACCCACACACAGACACACACACATATATATATAATTGAAAATAATTTTGGGGGGGTCTTTTTGAGACAGGATCTCCCTGTAGCCACAGCTGGCCTGGATTCACTATGGAGACCAGGCTGGCCTTGAACTCAGAGACCTGCCTGCCCCTGCCTCTCCTGTGCTGGGACTATAGGTATGTGCCACCATACCCAGCACAACTAATACTTTTTTTTTTTTCTTTTAACAAAAAAAGGGGCTAGAGAGACAGCTTAGCAGTTAGAGCACTGGCTGCTCTTGCAGAGCACCAGAGTTCCTGTTCTCAGCACCCAAATAGGACAGCTCACAACTGCCTCTTACTTCTGCTCCAGGCATCTGGCCTCTGTGGGCACCAGCATACATGTGGACATACATGCACACAGACAAATACACATCACAGACAAATACACATACATATACATATAAATCTTAAAAAAAAAAAAAAAAAAAAAAGAGTTCGGCGTGGTAGTGCAAACCTTTAATCCTAGCACTGGGGAGGCAAAGGCAGGTAGATCTCTGAGTTCTAAGCCACATAGTGAAATCCTGTCTCAAAAATCAAAAAACAACAAAAAGAAAAATAAAAAGAGGAAAAGAAAATTAGGGGAACAGTGAAGATGGCTCTACAGGTAAAGGCACTTGCTGCTGCTGACCCGGAGAGACTGAATTTGACCAGGATACCCATGGTGGAAGGAGAGAACCAATTCCCAAAAGTTTTCCTCTGACCTCTACAAGCCTACGTTGGCATGTATGCTCCCCTACACATACAAATATATAAATATATGTAATCACAGTTTAAAGAAAGGAGGGGGGGAGGGAATTCAGCAAACACAATACATGGGGCTTTTTCTGGTGGTGTGGGAGGTGGTTAAAGGGTGTTGCTTCAGCTGGGCGTGGTGGTGCACGCCTTTAATCCCAGCACACACACACACATACACAGAGGCAAGCACTCTGCCAATTGTGCAGCATCCCCAGCCCCACAGATCTCTTTTGCATTTTTTTTTTTTTTTTGAGACAGGGTCTGTAGTCCCAGCTAGCCTAGAACTTGTTATATAGACCAGGCTGGCCTTGATCTCACAAAGATCTACCTGCCTCTGCTTCCCCCTGGGTGCTAGGGCTATAGGGCTGTGCTACCACATGTATCTCCTCTTTTGATTTTATCTATCTATCATCTATCTATCTATCTATCTATCTATCTATCTATCTATTTATTTATTTTTGTCTTTCTGAAGCAGGGTCTCCCTGTAGCCCCAGCTGTCCTGGAACTCACTATGTAGACCAGGCTGGCCTTGAACTCACAGAGATCTACCTGCCTCTGCCTCCCAAGTGCTATTTTTTTTTCAATATGTATGAGTATATTGCCTGCATGTATGCAGATGCCCCCATGTCATGCAATGCCCACAGAAGTCAGAAGAGGGTGTTGGATCTCCTGGAACTGGAGTTACAGATAGTTATTAGCTGCCACATGGGTACTGGGAATTGAACCCTTGGTCTCTGCAAGAAGAGCCAGTGTTCCTAACTGCTGAGCCATCTCTCTAGCCTCCTTTGGAATTTTTGAGACAGGATCTCACTAAATTTCCCAGGCTGGTCCTGAACTCACTCTATGTAGCTCAAGGGAGATTTGTTTTTTTTTGTTTTGTTTGGGTCTTTTTGAGACAGTGTCTCCCTGTAGCCCAGCGGTCCTGGAACTCACTATGTAGACCAGGTTGGCCTTGAACTCACAGAGATCTGCCTGCCTCTGCCTCCCAAGTGCTGGGATTAAAGGTGTGTGCCACCATGCCCAGCCAGATTTGTTTTTATTTGTTTATTTATTTAGTGAATGGGCTTCTGTGTGCATGGAGGTCAGAAGTCAACTTGCAGGAGTTGGTTCTCCGTTTCTACCATGTGGGTTCCTAGGATCAAACTCAAATCATCAAGTCTGTCAGCAAATGCTTATACTAGCTGATGCATTTCGCCAGTCCATCAGGTAGGTTTTGAATTTTTTATCCTCGTGCCCCAGACTGAGGACCTGGGGTTTTTACACCAGCAGCACCAGGCCCAGCTATTTGCTTTTGTTTTTTTTTTTTTGGTCTTTTTGAGACAGGGTCTCTCTGTAGTCCCAGCTGGCCTGCAACGCACTATGTAGACCAGGCTGGCCTTGAACTCACAGAGCTCCACCTGCCTCTGCTTCCCAAGTGCTGGGATTAAAGGCGTGGGCCACCATGCCCGGCTGCTATTTGCATTTTAAAAATACATATGAACAGTATCACTCCAAATAAGTCAAGGGTCATATGCCCCAAAGCCTTCTTCAAATCCAGGTTAATACTTGAGTATTTTAAGAAAAACATCCTGATCTCCATTCAGGGTTATTACTTAGGAAAGGCAGATTTGGATTAAGCTAGTGTCAACGAATTCTGTTAAATATCCAGATAAAACTAAATGGAGGGCCAGGGGAAGGCCTTCTTTGCTCCATTAGGGAAAAAATAAAAGTAGAGTTGGGTATGGTAGTGCACGCCCACAACCCTAGCACTCCAAAGGACAAGGTAGGGGGATTACAAACTTGAAACCAACAGGAACTACAAAATGAAACTCTATTTCAAATAAAACTTAAAAAGGAAATTTGGTCATATCCAGAAATCCCATTTGCTGGAGTATAAAAGAAGCTTGGACATCAAATCATTTGCTGGCTGGCAAGTAACCAAGAAAGGGACCCAGCTTGAGCTACTGAAGCACAGGCTTTCTCCTCAGCTTCATGCAGGAGAGCAGGCTCTTTCCATGAACACAAGTGAGCCCAGAAGGTTCTGGAGGCAAGGCATGACCTGATTAAATGAATAACCAAAGGGCTAGGAATATGGCTCAGTTTGAACCTAGAGCTTGCCTAACACATAAGCCGCCGTGGGTTCCAACCCCAGTACTGCGTAAATGGAATGTAGTGGTGCACCACAATAAGTGAAGGATAAGAAATTCAAGGTCATCCTCCGCTACATATCAAGTTGCAGGCCAGCTCAGGCTAACAGGAGACCCTGTGGTTGATAAACAAAAAATTAATTAGAGTCGGATATGGTGGCACTCGCCTTTAATCCCAGAAGACACAGGCAGAGGCAGGTAGATCTCTAGGAGATGGAGGCCAGCCTGGTTTACAAAGTTCCCAGCCAGCAGGGGCTACAGCAAGACCCTGTCTCAAAACAAACTGAACAAAAATAATTAGAATCTCCTATCATGTTTTTCCCTTGGGGTAAGAAAAGATTTGAGAAAGGAGAAGGGTGTGTCCCAGAAGGCAAGAGCGGGCTAAAATGATCCATTCTCCCCATTGGTGAAGCCTTGGAGGCCTTTCAAGTTCCAAACCATAGATTCCTTGCCTTAAAATTAATATCCAAACTCAATGATTGAAATCCAGTGGGTAACTAATCTTTTAGACCAGAGCCCAGGACTTTGGTCAGTGGAGGAACCAGGAATTCATGAGTTTCCCTCCTTGCCTCAGGGAGGATAGAGCCCGGGGGTCCAACACCTGGTATTCCCAGCATTCAAGGAGGATATTAAGTTCAAGGCCAGTCTGTGATGGTAAATGCTAGACCAGCCTGAGCTATATAAGAAAGAAGAAAGAAATAGGGGTTGGAGATGTACAGCTCAACTGGTAGAGTGTCTGCCCAGCATGCATGGGTTCCATCCCCTGAAAGGCATAAACTGTGTGTGGTAGTGCAGACCTGTAATCCCAGCACTAAGCAGGTGAGGGCAGTCAAGGAGTTCAAAGTAATCCTTGGCTACACTGTGAATTCAAAGCTAGCCTGGAACTACAAGAGACCCTCAAAGAAAGAAAGAAGGTGGATGGGATGTAATCGCAGCACTTGGGAGGCAGAGGCAGGTGGATCCCTGTGAGATGGGAGGCCAGCCTGGTTTGCATAGTGAGTTCCAGGCCAGATGGGGCTACAGGGAGGCCCTCTCTCAACAAAACAGGGCTGACTGGAGAAATGGCTTAGCAGTTAAGAGCACTGACTGTCCTTACAGAGGACCACAGGGCAGCTAACAAAACATCCATAACTCCAGTTCCAGGGGAATCAGACACCCTCTTCTGACCTCTGTAGGCACTGCACAACACGAGTGCACTTGACATACATGCTGGTAATACACTCATACACAAAAAATAAAAATAAAGTATTAAAGAAACAAGAAAAAGAAGGCGTTGTTGAGAAAACACGGGGAAAGAAGCCATGTTCTGGTGGACAGGGGAACTACCTGAGTTGTCAGGTTAGCAGACAAGGCCTCACGTGTCATTAACCAAGGTACCCACATGTCTGACTGGGAGCGGATGCAAATTCGCTAAACGGGAACAGTAGCCGGAGGACAGGATCTCTCCCCTCCCCAGTGTCTGGGGGCTTGTCAGCTTCCTTTCATTTCGGTCTGGCCACCCGCCGACCTCCTTTTCTTATTCTAAGTCTGTCCTCCCGTCCACTTCCCACCCTCCCCGGGCGTCTGGCTGGCCGCTCTTCCCACCTCCACCTCCGCGCACGGCCGCACGGAAGCTCGCGATGGCCTCGCGAGGAAGGTGGGGGGGTCACAGCCTGGCCACCCAGACTGCTGTCCTCTCCCCAAGGGTCTGCCCCTGCCTCCCCATCCCACGGCGGCTCCGACCGCTTACGGCCACCGTGTACTCACCTGGTCCGTGGCTGCAGGCACCCGCACTTCCGCCGGCGCCCCAGATAAAAAGGCCCGGGCGGGTCCCGAGCCCCGAGGACTCGAGTTCTGCTGGCGCCACTGGGGCCCCACGTGGTCGGTGGCACCGCACCTGGCACCGCTCTCGGATCACCCGGCCGGCCGGAGACTGGGTTCTGTCAACCTGCAAGTTAGGGACTTCTGAGATGCCCATTTTTAAAATATTTTTTCTTCCTTTATTCCTTAGCATGTATGTTATCAAATTAATATATGAATAAAATATATCTTTGGATTGTGTTTGTTAGAATGCTTGATTTTTAAAATTGTTGCTTTGAGATACCTATTTTTTTTTTTTTAACGAGGATGAAACTGAGGCTTAAAAGGGCCAGGGTGGTAGTTAGTGGCTGATGCCTGAAATTTCCAGCATTCTGGAGGTGAGACAGGATTGTGAAAGTTAGAGACCAGCCTAAGCTCCAGAATGAGACTTAAATAAATGAATGAATGGTCGGAAAGGAAAAGAAAAAGAGTGGTCCTGGTTCACACCTATAATCAGTCCCAGCACTTGGGAGGCAGAAGCAGAAAGATTGCAAAAGTCCCAGTTCAGTCTGGATTGCAGAGATACCCTGTCTAAAAGAAAGAAAATGCCTGGGGTGGTGGTGCATGCCTTTAATCCTAGCACTTGGGAGGCAGAGGCAGGCAGATCTCTGTGAGTTGGAGGCCAGCCTGGTCTACATAGCAAGTTCCAGGCCAGCTGGAACTGGACTACAGGGAGACCCTGTCTCAAAAACAAACAAAACACACACACACACACACACACACACACACACAAAGGCAAACAGAAACTCTGTCTTATAAAAAAAAAAAGAAGAAAAAGAAATCTCAGAAAAAAAAAAAAAGACAGGAAGAAATGGATCAGAGAGAGGAAAGATTTCCTCCCAGCTGCTTAGCAGGTACACCTGTCCACCCCTCATCTCCAGGAGGAAGCAGCCGCCCCCTGTGGAATCTTAGGATCATGTTCTTGGCAGCCACATACCAGGAAAAAGGCTTTCAGGGCAGCAGTTGGGATTGACAGGGGTCATTTTGTTCTTCAGCCCTTCCTGCAGTTCTATTTTACAAAGTGGGAAAATGAGGCCCTGCTTGGGGGGAATGTAGAACCTCACTGCTCTCTGCAGGCAGAATTGACTTTATCCCCCACAGGGTTCCACTTAGGCAGGGGGCTTTGGGGACTCCAGCTTGCTACCTACTGCCTGGTACATTGGTATTATGTAAATATCTGTGGAAAGAGTGCGAGGTACATAGGTGTTGATTTAATGATGGAAGTTGGAGCTGGGTGCAGTGGTGCCTGCTTGTCCTAGCCACTAAGAAAGCCAAGGCTGAGGATCGCTTAAGCCCAGGATTTTCCGACCAGCCTGAGTAGCAAGATGCAACTCCCATCTCAAATTCAAGGCTGGCCTGTTCTACAGAGCCAGACCCTGTCTGCAAAAACAAGAGGGTAAGGGACAGCATTAGAGGATATTGCTCAGTAGTACTCATCTAGCAATGTGCAAGGCCCTGTGTTTGGTTCCTCCCCCAACACCCCAAAATAAAAATAAAGAAAGAAAAAAATAAGGCAATGGAGATGGTGAGTAGCAATGTTGGAGTTTCAAATTTAGTGGTCAAACTGGGCGGCACAGGCCTTTTAATCCCAGCACTTTCCGGAGTCAGAGGCAGGCAAATCTCCAAGTTCAAGGCCAGCCTGGTCTACATAGTGAGTTCCAGGCCAGCTGGGGCTACAGGGAGACCCTGTCTCAAAAAAGAAAAAATTCAGTGGTCAAGCTGGGCCTGGTAGCCGTATGCCTGTAATCCCAGCACTCAGGAGGCAGAGGCAGGAGAGGTAAGATTGAGGTCAGCCTGCTGGAAAGGAAGGAAGGAAGGGTAGAAGGAAGGAAAAGGAAAGACTGATTGATTAATTGATTGAATGGTCAGAGGAAGTGCATTATCGAAGCCACCTTTGGTGACCCTCTAGGTTCAGTCTGCCCTCTTTTGCAAAGTGGGGAAACTGAGGCAGAAAGGGAATTGGGGCCAGATGGAGGTCATCGAGGGCAATTTGCAAAGCCCATTTGCAAAGCCCGCAGCTGGGTGTGGCTACTTTAGATAGGCTGGCCAGGGAGGCCCAGGGCTTGGTGGAGGACAATTGAGCTACAACCTGAATAACAATATGAAGACCTCTGGGAGATCAGCATTGGAATTCACTCAGCTGGCCTGAGGACACCTGGGGCAGGACAGAGCCTGACCCTAACCTCAGGGGGCTTGTGATGTGTGGGCGGAGGAAGACAGTCAAGAAACAGTTTCTCAGTGATGTGCTGGGTACCTGGATGAACAAATACCTCAGGAAAGACTGAGGGTGGGGCAGGGTGCCTAGGCCTCTTCAAACTCTTCAGCCCAGAGAATTGTTACCTGAGGGAAGTTCAAGGATCTCCTAGGAGGGAGGCTGGGAGGACTGCTGGCTATTTGGTTTAATGGGCAGCCTAAGAATCAAGAGAAAGGAGAAATGTAGGATTATAATTCCACTTTGCTGCTGGGCATGGTGGCACACATCTTTAATCCCAGCACTCTGGAGGCAGAAGCAGGCAGATCTCTGTGAGTTTGAAGCCAGCCTGGTCTACAAACTGAGTTCCAGGCCAGCTGGGGCTACTGGGAGACCCTGACTAAAAAAAAAAAAAAAAATTCCACTTTGCCTCAGGCAAAGTACCAGGAAAACCAACAGACCTCAAAGTGACCCTAAGAACCTTCTGGATGTGCCTTCCAACTTCTTTCTGAACTCACTCTCTTGCCCTAAATTTCCTGACCCTCATTATTCTGGGATGCACAGACTACTGCTTTGGGTTTCCTCAATTTTGTTTGTTTGCTTGCTTGTTTTGGTTTTGGTTTCTTGAGATAGGGTCTCCCTATAGCCACAGCTCACCTAGAATTTACTATGTAGACCAGGCTGGCTTCGCTCTCACAGAAATCCGCTTACCTCTGCCTCCTGAGTACTGGGATTATAGGCAGTGCCACCACACCCGGCCCCCTTAATTTTTTTGAGATAACCCTGCCTGGCCTGGAACTTATTATATAGACTAGGCTGGTCACTAGTTTAGGCAATGCAGGGTGTGGTGGCATGCAGCTTTAATCCCAGCCCTCAGAGGCAGAGGCAGGTGGATCTCTGTGAGCTGAAGCCAGCCTGGTTCACATAGTGACTTCCAGGCCAGCTGGGATTAGGGCTACCCAAATAAAAAAAAAAAAAAAAAAAAAAATCCACTGGCTCTTAGGCAATCCTCCTGCCCCTGACTCCAGAGTGATATGCTGGGATTGTAAAACTTCACCACCACCATCATGTCCACCTTTTTTTTTGGTCTTTTTGAGACAGGGTCTCCCTGTAGCCCCAGCTGTCCTGGAACTCACTATGTAGACCAGGCTGGCCTTGAACTCATAGAGCTCCACCTGCCTCTGCCTCCGGAGTGCTGGGATTAAAGGCATGCGCCACCACGCCAGGCAAAGAGAGCCCGGGCAACTGCTTGGAAGGCAGCTATGCTCACCACTATACCACCAACGCTGTCCAGTTTATTTTATTTTGAGGTGGGGTCTCTTGTAGCCCAAACTGGTGTCAAATTTGCTATATAGCTGAGGCTAGTCTTGAATTCGTAAACTTCCTTCTACACCCTCAATGCTAGGATTGTAGATATGTGCCACAATCCCTACCTTCTCAGGTCTCAATTCTGCTCTATCGTGACATTGGGGTGTGGAGGGACACACGTGAAGCCCTTTGTGGGGTATCCCTGTTCCCTTTCCTAGCACTCCATATTTTATGAAGTAGTCAAGGCTAGCCTTGAATTGTGATTCTCCTGCCTCAGTCTCTTAAGTAGTTAAAATTACCTGCAGGAGCCACGGGGGTTGGAGGTGGGAGGGATCCATATTTTACAGTCATCTTGTATAGTGGTTATAGTGTGTTTCAACCATAGTGGGTACAGTAGGTACTCAAGAAATGGGGCATCAATAGCTGGGGATGTAGCTCAGGTACAAGATTTAAGAGATGCTCAGCACCATATAAAACCAGGCGTGGTGGTGCATCTGGTAATTTAAGAGCTGAAGAGGTGAAGGCAGGAGTATCAAGGCTAGCCTAGTCATCTTGTATAGTGGTTATAGTGTGTTTCAACCATAGTGGGTACAGTAGGTACTCAAGAAATGGGGCATCAATAGCTGGGGATGTAGCTCAGGTACAAGATTTAAGAGATGCTCAGCACCATATAAAACCAGGCGTGGTGGTGCATCTGGTAATTTAAGAGCTGAAGAGGTGAAGGCAGGAGTATCAAGGCTAGCCTGAACTACAGAAGACCCTATCCCAAAAAAAAAAAAAAAAAAAGTTATGTATAGACCGGATTATTAGGCACCTAGTAAGAGAGGCTGTCCACACTTCTTGCTTGGGGTGTGAGTATGCGGGCATCCGGTGCCTCAGTTTCTCCATCCCGATCATGGGTTTAGGGAGAGCGCTCTCTATCCCCTGGTGATGTGGAACCCCTGTGGGATGATTCTTGGACCACAAAGCAGTGGGCAGAGCCAGTAGGTTGAGTCCGGCCTCCCGGCTGGGCCCCTCCGGGACCGCCCTGTCCCCTCCCGTCAGGCCCCGCCCGGGGGCGGAGCCACAGCCTGGCCAGCACGTGTAAAAGTTCGCCGCGGGTCGCGGCGAGCCACTCACCTGGGCGCCCAGCTGGTAGAGCGTACGGTCCACGCGTCCTGCGCTCCTGCGTCCTCCGCCCGCCAGGCCGCCCGTGCGTCCCGGCCTGCGACTCATGTCCCGCCGCAAGGCCGGTCGCACGCCCCGCCGAGTAGACCCCGAACCCACCACCTCCGCCGCCGCCGACTACATGTCGGACCTCGTCATTGATGTGAAGCCGGAGCCGGACGCGCGGCCCCTGCAGGCCCTGGCGCTGGGGCCCTTCTCTCCGCAGGAGGTGTCCAAGCCGGGGCTGCTAGGCGGGGAGCCACGCCACTGCTCGGACCCTGTGCCAGCCGCCGGGGTCGCCTTCCACTCCCTGGGCACGCGGAGCCCGTGGGCCCTCTGGATGCCGGTGACCCCCAACCCTTCCGGTAAGTCCCGCAGCCCTCGCCCCTGCCCCTACTGCGGATCCTGTCCTCCGGGGACCGTCAGGTGAATGCCTCTCCTCCGGCTCATCCTCCCGGAACGGTCCCCAGGATCTGTCTGTCCTCCCTCGCGCCGGGCTGGCTTCAGGGCTTCCCCCCCTCCCCCCGCTTCCCGGCTTTTCTGACCTCCCTCAGAACCGTCAACCCCAACCGGGCCCCACCCCACTGCTCACCACCCGCTTCCTCCCTGCAGACCGCCAGCCCTGGACCGACAAACACCCAGATCTTTTGACCTGCGGCCGCTGCCTGCAGACCTTCCCGTTGGAGGCCATCATCGCGTTCATGGATCACAAGAAGCTGGGCTGTCAGCTCCTGCGAGACCCCATTCCCAGCCAGGTCTCAGGTGAGGAACGCTGGGTGCAATTCTACCCCTCTCTGTTCCAGAACTCGGGGGTTGAGGGAGCTGAGCTGGACAGACGGCATCGCATCGAGCATTACTTCCCCTTTCTCTTGCTCCCTTTCGGGTGCTACCTAGGCGTGGCCAGGGCTTGCCTGTCCTAGGGCAGGCACTAGAGGTGGGGCGGGGGCTGGGCAGCAGAGGAAGGCCACCCACAAGGTGTGGCCAGCCCCCGAAGACTGGCCGGGGGTTTTGCCACACACCCCCAATTTGGTTTCACTTCTCCTTCCTCTTGAACAGAAATAACTGGCCAGGTGGCTGGACCAGGGTGGCAGTAGGGGGACTTTGGGGAGGTGGGGGCAGTGGGCTCAGGAGAGGAGTAGAGGCCAGCTGGAAGCGGGTGGTTACCATGCCTAGGGCCTCTCACTTGTGTTTGAACTTGGGGCAGTTCAGAAGCTGGGAAGGGATTCTGGCTTGTTCCTTTGGAATCTCCCAGCTGAGTGCTGGGAAGCCCCCTGGTTTGGGTACTGGATACCTGAGAGTGACTTAATGAGCAGGAAATTAAGTCTTCTTGTGGTGCTTGGTCCACTGTACGAACTCTTGTAGACTGTGGGATTTGACCCAAACTTGAATTTCCAGCCCCCAGCTGGAGCCCTGGAAAATGGAATTATATATTCTGGGCTGGGCCAGGGAAGGTCTGGGAGGGAGGGGCCATGATCCAATCAGCTTTAGCTGAGGGAGTGGCTGGTGGGCCAAGGAGGGGCTGATAGATTTACTGGAATCAACACTTGGACCTGTGCAATTTTTGGGAGGCGGGTAGCACGTAGGTCAGTGCTGACTGAACCCAGGGCTTCTTGCTAGGCAAGTGTTCTACTGAGCAATGGCATCAGCTTTGTTTTACTTATTTTGAGGCAGGATATCACTATCGCATACCTCCTGAGTAGCTGGGCTTAAGGCCTTCTTCACCAGGCCTGGCTAGTTATGGGTACCTTGATGTCCAAGGTTTAAAGGGATTAAAGCACTGGACTTTTCTTGAGGTCACAACCCCTCCAATCCCTGTACTCTAGCAGCTGAGGAAACTGAGGCAGAGAAAGGACAGGTTTTGAATTTGACTTGTTTACATGTGATCTTAACTGGGGCCTGGTGTTACATCACAAAGGCTAGTCCATATAGGACTGTCTAGGATTTGGGAAACCTAATGGACCTGGGAAGTATCCAGTTGCTTTACACAAGAAGTTCTGAAGATGTCATTCTTGGGGTTCAGGTGGGGGGATGTCTTAGCATGAAAGCCTTTAGTTGCTGAGAAACTAGGGTTTTGTGCATGCTTAGAGTTCCATCACTGAGCTGCTCCAAAGCCCCTTCTGCAAGGCCCAGTGAAAATGGCAGTAGTTCTGGTTTCTTTACTTTCTGGCTTCTTTTTAAAATACACAGTTCTGGTAGTTTCTTCCTGGAAATGTTCCTGAAGGCAGCAGGTATCCTTTGTGTCATGTTGGTGCTGTCACTGTTCCCCAGCACTGAACCCCTGTCCCTTTATCTCCAGAATCAAAGGAGCTGCAGGCTCTGAGCTGCCTCCGATGTGGCAGACAGTTCACCGGAGCCTGGAAGCTGCTACGCCACGCCCAGTGGGACCATGGACTGTCCATCTACCAGACGGAATCAGAAGCTCCAGAGGCTCCGCTGCTAGGCCTGGCTGAGGTGGCTGCAGCTGTGTCAGCAGTGGTGGGGTCAGTCCAACCTCCAGTTGAGGACAAGGCCCCCCGTGTGAGCAACACTGCCCGTGGGAGCCCCACCTGCCTTGTGTGCAATAAGACCCTCAGCTCTTTCAGCAACCTGAAGGTCCACATGCGCTCACACACAGGTGAGCGGCCCTACGCCTGTGACCAGTGTCCCTATGCCTGTGCCCAGAGCAGCAAGCTCAACCGCCACAAGAAGACCCACCGGCAGCTGACGCCCCAGAGCCCTGGCACTCCTGCTTCCAGCCCAGAGCAGGGCTCCCCAGCAGCCCCTCCAGAGCCAGCTGCCCATGCAGCTGCTCCAGCCAGCACCCTCCCTTGCACTGGTGTAGAGAAGGCTGGTGCTGCAGCCACAGCAGGGGTCCAGGAACCCGGGGCTCCTGGCAGTGGGGCTCAGGCAGGCCCAGGTGCTGATGACTGGGAAGCCAGTACTGACGTACAGAGGACTGACCCTGTAAACAAGAAGACCTCACCCAAAAAGACCCCCAAGTCCATGGGCAAGAGCCGCGGGACTGGGGGCAGCTGCGAGTTCTGTGGGAAGTACTTCGCCAACAGCAGCAACCTCACAGTGCACCGGCGCTCCCACACTGGAGAGCGGCCCTATGCCTGCGACCAGTGTCCCTATGCCTGTGCCCAGAGCAGCAAGCTCAACCGCCACCGCCGCATGCATGGCCTGGGGCCTGGCAGCACCCGCTATGAGTGCCCATACTGCTATGTGCCCTTCGGCCTGCGGGCCACACTGGACAAGCACTTGCGGCAGAAGCATCCAGAGGTGGCCTGAGCTGGCCTGGGCTGTACAGGAATCCTATTGTCCTCCCCTGTGTGAATAAACCATCTTCCCCTATTTAACCACATGCCTGGACTCTGGCTTTCTTGGGATGTCTTAAGGTGGGGTGGGAGGCTCCCCTGTAGTATGGACAGCTGGACAGACCGGTTTGAAGTGGGGGTGAGGGGAAGGCTGGCCCCCAGTGCCCCAGGCACCATGGGACTGGCACAGAAAGCCGTGTTCCCGGTTCTTGGTGTGGGTGAGGCCAGGGGCCTGGCGAGGGCGGGGAAGAGGCCTGGACCTGTCACCAGAGGCCCCTGGGCACAGTCCAGTCCTAACCTATCCTCCACAGGTCCCTGTCCACACATGCCACAAGTCTAGCCCTGTCTTGGTTGGCTTCTGCAACCTAAGCAGGCCCTACCCTACTCCCTACAGAGGTCCTCAGCTCCCTGCTAACAACCGGATGGACAGAAGCTGGTTCTCAGGGTGAGGGCCCACACCAACCACAGGACAGAGGCAGTGAAGGGCATTAAATAACGGTAGCTTTTATTTCACTAGAGAAAACCAGCACAGCCTGGCCAATCCCTGCCCTGCCTCCCACTCTTCTGCCTAATGCCGGTAATGGGGGCTTCGGGACCTGGACCTCGAGCGCCTGCAGACAGAAGGGGAGGCTGTGAGGGTGGGACAGACACCAGGAGCCTCCGTGCACACATGCACCAACATGCCTAGGGCCAAAGGGCTCCTGACTGGAGTGTGTCCTACAGGGGACGAGATGAGCCCCACCACCTAAAAGGGTGCAGGGTGGGAGGGGCAGTGAAGGGACTTCTGGGGTGTGTGGGGGGGAGCTGAGCCAGGATCCTCACCTGCGGGAAGAACTGTACTCTCGACCTGGAAAAGAAGGGAGGGTAGTGAGGACAGATGCTACTACTGGTCCTTCAAGATGGGGCACCACAGCTATCTCAGCCTGCACTTTCCACCCTGGCAGGCCAGCATGTATCAACAGCAAGCCTCTCCCCACATTTGTATAATGTGAGATAGAGGTCTCCTTACGTAGGTCAAGCTGCTCCAAAACACCCTGAGCTCAAGTGGATTTTTTTATGGTTGTCTTTGTTTTTTTTATTATTTTATGTGTGTATTGCCTGCTCACATGCACCCATGTTGTGCAATGCCCACAGAGGTCACAAGAGGGCATTGGATCCCCCTGTAACGGGAACTATGTTGTTAGCTGTACTGGGGATTGAACCCATGTCCTCTATAAGAGCAACTAGTGCTCTTAACTGCTGAGCTATCTCTGCAGCCTCATTATGTAGACCAGGTTGGCCTTGCAAAAGATCATCCTGCCTCTGTCTCCCAAGTGCTGGGATTAAAGGTGTGCATCACCACATCTGGATTTTTTTAAAGATTCATTTATTTATTTTTGTCTTTTGAGACAGGGTCTCCCTGGAGGCCCAGCTGGCCTAGAATTCACTATATAGACCAGGCTGGCCTTGAACTCACAGAGTTCAAGGACTCACCTGCCTCTGCTTCCCTAGTGCTGGAATTAAAGGCGTGCACCACCACACCTGGTTTCACTTATTTAGTTTTACTTATATGTCACCATGTGCATACAGTGGCCAGAAAGGCCAGAGGGCACCAGATCCTCTGGAAAAGGAGTTAGAGGCAGTTGCAAGCTGCTGGATGTGAGTGCTGGGAACAGAAACTGGATCTTCTGAAAGAGCAGCAAGTGCTCTTAACAACAGAACCATTTCTCCAGCCCGTTAATTTTTTTTGTTGAGACAGATTTTGCAGCCTTGTCTGCACTAGTGACATTTTGATGATGCTTCAGCCTATGTCTCTGGACATGTACTGCCACATCCAGCTTTTTTCCTAATGGCCCAAGGAGCAGCATGGCTCTCTTGACCCTCAGACTATAGGGGGAGGAGGGTCACTCACTGTAGCGTGGGGAAGGCGAAGGCGAACGGCTCTGGCGGCTGTACTGGCGCTCCCACTCTTCTCTCTCCTTCTCTCGTCGTTCTCGCTCCCTGCAGGGGGAGAGAGGAGGCAACCAGCAGGGAGGGGTGAGCACCTGCTGGGCTGTAACACACGAGACACCTAAGGAAGCTAGCACCTCCACCTGGACACGGATGGGGACACTGGCTGCCAGAGCCACAACTGCAATACCTGCCCGGCCAAGAGAGCCTGGCCCAACCACCTAAGAGAGCTGGCTAGTTCTGTCTTTCCTCCCAGCCTAGGGGTGTGCACTGAGCAGCCAGGGCAGGCAGCTCCAGCAGCTCCAATTTAATGGGTGCCCTGCCTGTCTGGCCTTCATGGTTTCTAGTACTTTAAGCAGACCTGTGAGGGAGACAATGATCCCATCCAGTGAGCAGATGAGCAACTGAGGCTCAGATAGAACAGAAACATAGTATTGGGAGGGGGGGGGGGGGGACACCGGGACATACTACAGGACCAGCACAGAAGCCAAGTATAACCAACACAAGTCAGGTCCCTGGCCAGTCTTCCTCAGCCTTTTGAGATAGGTTCTGATTATATAGCTCAAACTGGCCTAGAACTCATGATCCTCGTGCCTTTGCCTCCCTAGTGCTGGGCTTACAAGTGAGCCACCATGACATGCCTGACCCTTTCCTCCACTTTCTGGGCAGCATCATAAAGCCCAACATGCCACTGGAGTGTAATAAAGACAACAACTACAAAAACATGTGTGAGTGTGATGACAGATGGAAGCCTCAGCAAACAAAAGCCTGATGATCTGAGTCCCATCCCCAGATCCCACACTAGAAGGGGAGAACGGATTCTTGGGAGCTGTTCTCTGACCTCCAGAATGTGCCGTGGCATTTATATGCTCACATCTCTCTCACACACAGTAATAAAATTTAAACACAAAGCCAAGCATGGTGGTGCATGTAATCTAAGCACTAGGGAAGCTGAAATAGGAGGATTTTCCATGAGTTCAAGGGTAGGTAGCTTGGGCTATACAACAAGTTTCAGGCCAGCTTGAACTACAGAGGAAAACCCTGTTTCAAGAGAAATCAAAATCTTAAGACAGGCACACCTTTAATCCCAGCACTTGGGAGGCAGAGGCAGGCGGATCTCTGTGAGTTCAAAGCCAGCCTGGTCTACATAGTGAGTTCCAGGAGAACTGGGGCTGCAGAGAGACGCCGGCTCAGAAAAAGCACAAAAAAAAAAAAAAAAAAAAAAATCAAAATTTTAAAAAAGAAATAACAAACACACAAAGACAAAAAAACAGAAAGACAGAGAGGAAATGACAGGAGCTCCAGCCTGGACACCAAGCAGCAGGTCTTCCAGTGGCCCAGCACCTGGCTGGAGGCTTTATCATAGATACTGCAGAGATGGAAGCACCCCCACCTCCACCTCCCACAGGAAGATGGCTCAGCTCAGAGAGGACAAGGTGTTTGCTACTGACCACAGCATGAATCAGAAACAACTAACACATGCAGGGTTCCATTCCTGACTGGCTCCCCTCCCTGCCAATACACAGCACTACCGCCCCAGGTTCTGCCCATGGCCCCTGGGGTGGACTGAGGTCTTCTAGACACTAATCCCAGCTTCCTAGTGAGGTGGGAACTGAGGGCTGATCCAGATAACTCAGTGAGGCTATAAGAGGGTAAGGGCCAGCCACACCTTCAGAGAAACAGAGCTGGAACTAAACTCCAAGTCTGTGATCCAGGTTTGGATTTCTGACCATTGCTCAGTATGTAATGGAGGAAAAGAAAACTAGAGAGGGGGAAATGAAAAGCCCCTGACTCCAGCAGCGGCCAGAGACAAACCACAGGGCTGGCTTCACTGCACCACTTATTCAGTAGCAAACAGCTAGGACACAGATACTGACACAATGCCCAGTGGAGGCACACAAGAATCAAGAATCAGAAAACTCGCCGTTCACAGCAGGGAGGAACGATTAGGATAAAAAGCCTAGCAGGTCAGGTCAGGAAGGGCTCCTGAGTGAAGTGAGAGGCCTGGGGAATCTGGGGAAGGGCCTGCCAGGTCAAAAGAACAGAAGGGCAGCGAGATTGGGAACTGAAGAAGAGCCAGAGGGCAGGGTAAGGGCTGCGGGGCACCAGACCAGACATCAGGCCAGGCTCAGCAGCAGGAGGCGATGTCCACCACAGGATGGGGGCCTTACTTCATGCGGATCTTTCGGGCCATGGCACGCAGCTCATCCTCCCGCTCCTGCAGCAGAACCATTTGTGAGGCATGGCGTGACCAGAGCCCTACCCAAGTGTCCCATGCCCTCCAAGCCAGGCCTGACCTGCCGCTCGTGCTCCTGCTGGATCATCTTCTCCTGGGCCGCCTTCTTATCTGCCTTGACTGTGGAGGAACAATGTTGAGGCTGAGGGTGTCCTCAGAGCCCCCTTCCTAATCTGGCCAGGCAAGGGCAAAAAAGTCACTCCCAACCCCAAAAAGCCTCTCTGTCAGGCAGGGCTACCCCTGGACAGGAAGGGAGCCAAGGGCCAGGAACAGCAAGACATACACTGGCGGTTCAGTGCCTTCTGCATCCTCAGCTTCAGCTTCTCCTGTGGTGTGAGCTTGGGCTGGGGGGGAGAAGAGACAGGAGAGGCGTGGGTGTTCTGAGCTCACCAACCCACCTCAGCCAAGGGCCTGGGACTTGTGGGGCAGTGTAGGGGCTCTGAGAAGCTCCGAGCCAGCCAGAACCCATGTAATGCAGATTCAGCTCTTTTGGGCAGCCCCCTCCCCACTCCAAGTCCCTGAGCTGGAGCTCCCCTCCCCCAGGGCCCCCTGCAGGCCCACCGGACCCAGCACGGGCACTGCTGCTGGCGGGAGTTAGACGGGCGAGTTCCAAATTCTTACTGACTTTGGCAGCTCCTGTCTCTTTACCAGCGGCAGGCTCGGTCCTGGGTGGGAGAAAATGGCAGTGCCATCTCTTACCCTACAGCCCGAGGACTACCCTCAGAATAGGGAGCAGAGACCTTGGGTCCCAGGCCTAAGAGCAGTTAGTTACCTCCCTCACAGACCCTTAGGACATGTTTCTGTCAACACAGACCATGCAGGAGGCAGGCCCCTCCCAAGCCCAGGGGGTGAGCTCACACCTCCTGGGGAGGTCACA